GGTAATGGCTGGCTTTAAAAGCAATTCTTTAAGTCTACAGCAGATATACATTCCTATAAGGCACAATCACACAAAGGCAAAAGTGCATCACTTATGATTAGTGAAAGAAATTAAAGATTGCAATACGTCAAAGAAAGTAGCCTATAATAATTTCACAAATAGTGGTAAGCCTGAGGATTGTGAGCAATATGGTATAGTAAAGGAAGGCCAAAAAAAAACTGATGCGGAAAGGGAAAAGAGAAAATCAATACAAGATAGTATGGAACATGGAGTTTAGAAGGATGACAGGTGACCTTACTCGGAGCCTTGCTGCTTCTTCAGGGCTTAGTGAGAGAGGCGGCATCAGACACGAGAATTTATAAGTAAAACATCAAAGGGTCTATATTTTAGATGTGAGGTCTTGTTTAGAATCTGTCTGTGTTTTAACAAGGAGTCATACAGGTTTTATTTCCAACATAGGAATTTTAAAAATTCCACATTGGCTGACTGCCTAGAAATTGTGTGCTTTTTGAACAAAACAGAAAGTATCCACAATTAAAAATTCACCCCATAGATTTATATCTGTGTGAGAGTGACAGACAGTGTGACAGATTTGACATACACACACTCACACACACACTCCCTCTCTAAACAAGACCTCACACCTAAAATGTATTGCCTGACCTGGGACATCATCGCTGGTATGCAGATAAAACCTTTAGTTATGTCGGGGCAGTGACTTGCAAGAAATTCTGGGATTTGCATATTAATCAATCAAAACCTGCATCTCCTTTCTAACTGATTAAAGATTTAACAGCCATGTTAGGTTTGTTCAATACGTTCCCATCAGTTCTATACCCTTTGATCTTTTACTTATAAATTCTGTGTCTGATGCCACCTCTCTCACTAACACCTGAAGGAGCGAGGCTCTGAAAGCTTGTGATTTCAAATAAATCTGTTGGTCAAAAATCACACAACACCAGGTTACAGTCCTTGTCCAACACTGGCACCTGCACATTAAGGTGACCTAATTGACAGGGTAGATGTGGAAATATTGTTTCCTCTTGTGGAAGAGTCTTGGACCACATGGCAAGATCTCAGAATAAGGGGTCACACATTTCAGAGAGAAATGAGGGGGAATTTCTTGAGTGTTGTGAATCATTGGAATTTCTCACTAGAGGGCTATTGAGACTAGATCATTAAGTATATTCAAGGTTCAGGTAGACATAGGCCTAGTGGTATGATCACTGGACTGTTAATCCAGAGACTCAGTAATATCCTGGGGTTGAATCCTGCCGTGGTAGTTGGTAGATTTGAATTCAATAAAAATTTGGAATTAAGAGTCTAATGATGATCATGAATCCACTGTCAATTGTAAGAAAAAACCTATCACTAACGTCCTTTAGGGAAGGAAACTGCTTCCTTACCTAGTCTGGTCTACACGTGACTACAGACCCACAGCTCTGTGGTTGACTCTTAACTGCTCACTGGGCAAATTAGAGATGGGCAGTAAGTGCTGACCTAGCCAGAGACACCCACATTCCATGAGTGAATAAAAAAAAAATCAGTAAAGAAATAGGGGTTTATGGAGGAGAAGGCAGAAAAGTAGAGTTGACAGTTTTAAGATCAGCCACTATCTCATTGAATGGTACAGCTGACTTGAAGGGCTGAGTGGTCTACTTCTTGTCTTATGGACTAAGTGAATGGTGAGCAAATTTCTTGAACCACTGTAGTTTGGCTTTCAATGTTTTGTAGGAGATTTTGACCTGGTGACACCGAAGGAATGGCAATATATTTCCACATCAGGATGGTGAGTGAACTTGGTGTATCGGCTGCTCTTTTCCTTCTAGATGGAAGTGGTTGTAGGTTTGAAACCAGTGAATATCCACAGAGATCAGATCTGCTATGTGTAATATTTGTAAGTGATTAAGATAAAAATGAAGGTGATCTGATTAGTAAGTTTGAGGATGTGAGGAAGGTCATCAAAAGGATACAGTACAATATAAATCCATTTGAAAGCTGAGCAGAATAAAGGCAGATGGAGTTTAATCTGGACAAGTGTAAGGTGGTGCATTTTGGGAGGTCAAATGCAAGAACAAAGTATACAGTAAATAGCAGGACACGTAGGAGCATTGATATACAGAAGGACATTGGGTGCAAGTCCACAGCTTCCTAAAAGGGGCAACACAAGTGGCTAAGTTGGAACACGACATGCTTTAGGAGGGTTAGGGACCAAATGCAGGCAAATGGGACTAGTTTAGTTTGGGAAACCTGGTCGGCACGGATGAGATGGACCGAAGGGTCTGTTTCCATGCTGTATAACTATGCATATGCTTTTTATAAAGACAGAAAGTAAAATTTTCTAGCAAAAATACATGAAAGGAAAATGACTCAAGGATAAATTAGGGTCCACTGCAGATGGGGACTGGAGATTTTATAATAGAGAACAGACAATGGCAGAATGCAAGAATGTTGCCAGGGTTGGAGGATTTGAGCCATAGGGAGAGGCTGAATAGGCTGAGGCTATTTGGCGTGTTGGAGGCTGAGGGATGACCTTATAGAAGTTTATTAAATCATGAGGGGCATGGATATGATGAATAACCAAGGTCTTTTTTTCAGGGTAGGGGAGTCCAAAACTAGAGGCATAGGTTTAAGGTGGCAGGTAAAAGATCTTGAAGGGATCTGAGGAGCAACTTTTTCATGCAGCGGGTGGTGTGTGAATAGAGTAAGTGGTCGAATCTGGTTCAATTACAACATTTAAAAGGCATCTGGATGGGTAGAGGAGTAGAAAGGGTTTACAGGGTTATGGGCCAAATGCTGGCAAATGGCAGTTTAGAATATCTGGTTGGCATGGACTTGCTGGACCAAAGGGTCTGTTTCCATGCTGTATAACTTTAGGACAACATAAAAAGTGTCTAGAAATACCAGCCAACCAAGTTGCACTTGTACATCTGAAGACTTAAAAGAAATTAACATTTATGTAGGCAATATTTTTGAAGTAGTGACACATGGGTTTTTCTGTGTATCTAAAGGAATGAATAACAAGCGTGATTGTTGTGTGTGATATTCTTGAAACTGGTTGAGGGCTAGTTTTTAAAACGATTAAGTTTTCATTTCCCCTAAATGGGTTTAAGGTGGTAAAATTAGCATTGCGTCTCAAGAGATCTGTTAGTAATTTCTGGACTTTTCTTCAAGCTTAGGGAAAGCCCCCAAAGCTTAGAGTGAAAGAGCTTTTTGATTATTATTTTTAATTTTAAGTAGTTCTTCAAAAGTATTCTTAGTAAAATTTCTCCTGAAAAGGGCAGAGATGATGATTCAATTTGTTACCACTAGATTACATTAAGAATAAAGACTAGTAATAGTTCCAGGCAGCAAGTGTTTGGACAAAATCCTGAAGAGGTTATTTGAACCTGAGTATATTCAGCTCAGGTGTATGATGGCTCAGTAAAGAAGTAATCAGATTTTCCCAGGGAGGTTGAAGTCAAATTAAACCCACTGAGGTGTTAGAGAAAGGGATTGTCCAATAGGAGTACCATAAAAGGAATGTGGGTTGGTACTGTGCTGTTCTGGGATCTACAGAAGTGTGTTTGGGGATTAATGGATTACACTTTTATTTTGTGTTTAAAAGTCTTTGAATTTGTGTTATAAGTAAATAAATTAGTTTATCCCAGTTTATATTCACATTTTAGTTAGTAAACTTTCATTTCATTGTTATAATGAAATCCAACATTGAAACATAGTGCATAGTGAAAGACAACCTGATCAAAACCAAAACTAAACAAAATATGATTTATCAAGCCAGATTTCAGATTATTCAGTAACAACATCAGCTGGGATCAGAACAATATAAATGTGAATAAATGTGAGGTTATTTACTTTGACAGGAAAACACAGGCAGAAATGTTGAGAGATCAGGAATGAGGAGTGTCATAGAGTCAAAGAAAACTGCTCATCGCGTCCATGCTGGTCAAAAACTACCAGCTAACTATTCTTATCCCATTTTCCAGCCCTTGGTCCATAGCCTTGCATGTCTTGGCATCGCAAGTGCACATCTAAATACTTCTGAAATAGTACGAGGGCTTCTGCCACTACCAACCTTACAGGCAGTGAGTTTCAGACTCCTCCAATCTCTGGGTGAAAAAATTTTTCCTTATCCTGATCATAGAATCCCTCCAATGTAGAAACAGGCCATTCAGCCCAATAAGCCCACACCGCCCCTCCGAAGAGCATCCCACCCAGACCCAACCCCAACCCCCTACCCTTTCCCTATATTTCCCATGTTTAATCACATCCCTGAAACACTATGGGCAATTTTGCATGGCCAATCCACCTAACCTGCACACCTTTGGTCTGTGGGACGAAACCGGAGCACCCGGAGGAAACCCACACAGACACAAGGAGAATGTGCAAACTCCACACAGACAATCGCCCAAGGGTGGAATCAAACCCTGGTCCATGGCGCTGTGAGGCAGCAGTTCTAAACACTGAGCCACCATGCCGCCCTAAACCTTCTTCCTCTAAACCTCCTGTCCCTTACCTTAAAACTATGCTCCCTGTTCACTTATCAAGGGAAAAGTTTCTTCCTGTTTACCCTATCTATGCCTCTCAATTTGTCTGAAAGGGTCCATGAATCACAAAAAGCCAACATGCAGAAGCAACAAGCACTTAGAAAGGGAAAAGGTATGTTTCCATTCATTTCAAGGAGATTTGAGCACAGGATAAAAGATGCCTTGCTGCTGTTACATAAAGCCTTAGGTGAGATATCATGTAGAGTATTGTGTTTCTTTGTCCAAGGATGGATATACTTGCCATAGAAGGACTGCAACAGAGGTTCACCAGATTAATCCCTGGAAGAGAGTGGACGATATCGCAATGAGGAGATGGTTAACTATAATTTACAATGACAGGGTGGGCTCAAAGGTATTGAAAGTGTGGTTGAGAATTATCAGATCAGCACTGAATGGTGAAACAGACTCAATGGGCTGAGTGGCCTCTTTTGCTCTGTTGCCTAATGGTCTTACTGGGCTGAATGACTGATTCGCCTGTATCTTTCTGGTGCCAGACTTCAGGAAAAATATCACATTCCTCATTTCTGCAGAAAATAGGTGTGAATGTCAAAGATTAAAGGGTCACCTAACTGAGTTGTTTAAGCAGTTTAAAGATTTGTAGAGATACAGAAAAAACAATTTTCTCTGTTGGGAGCCCAGACCAAGGGGACAATAATATTAAAGAGCCCAGCTGTTCAGAAACATTTCTTTATAGAAAGGGAGCAGATATTTGGACAGCACTGTCCTTAAAAGCTATTGAGGCTGGGGAGGTTGGGAATGCAGAATACCGATCAGCAGTGCTCCACATTAATGGTGGAAAAACATCAGAGATACAAAGATCATATTCTGTTTCTTTTGTTTTAAAAAACTTCACTCATGGACATAGGCATCACTGGCTGGCTGTCCAATCCATTTCCCACACTTTTGCCCTTACCCATTCTCTTCCCTCCCACAACACCAATAGGGTCCTACTTGCATCCCACGAGCATCGGCATTCAAAGGATCATAAGCCGCCATTTCTGCCACCTCCAACAGGATGCCACTGCCAGACATGTAATCCCTTCCTCTTCCTTATCACCATTTCACAGGGAGTACTCCCAGGGACTCCCTGGTCTACTCCTTCTCCTCTTCCAACACCTCCCCACACCTCCACAGCACCATCCCATGCATTTGCAAAACATGCAACACTTGCCCCTTTACCTCCTCCCTCCTCACTATCCAAGGCTTCAGAAAGATATTCCAAGTGAAGCAGCAATTTCCCAGCACTTCATTTAATCTAGTCTATTGCATACACTAGTCGCAACGCGGCCTCGTCTACATTGGACGGGCAAATGCAGACTGCGTGACCACTTTGCAGAACACCTATGTTCTCTCTCTAAAGATGACCCCAAGCTTCCAATTGCCTGCCATTTAAACTGAAGACTGTGTCCCCTGGGCAGCATGACTGTTCCGGGCCTACTGCAGTGTCTCAGTGAAGTTCAGCACAAGCTGGAAAAACAGCATTTCATCTTCCGTTTGGGGACCCTGCAGTCTTCAAGACTCAATATCGAGTTCTAATAATTTTAGAGCCTGAACACATCCACTTATGTCCTTTACCAATCCCCAAGCCCTGTCAGCAGAACTAACCCACTTTCACCTACTCATTGTTCCCATTATTAGCTTTTCTCATTCCCTGTCTATATTTCTTTCTCTCTCTCTCTCTGGCTCCATCTCCATGTGCTACGTGCTCACTACCCACCACCCACAGCCGTGTCTTCAGAAACAAGACACAAATGTCCCCAACCTAATGGAACAGTTTTGCTATGCATCCTGACTTCTTCCAGACCTCAGCTGGGGTATTATGCCCGATTCTGAACATCACATATTTAGCAAAAATGTCAAAATCTTGGACAGTGTTCATGAGACAGATTTGCTAGAACATAACTGAGGATGAGGAACTTGAATGAAAGGGAAAAAACCTGCAAATGGTGGAAATCTTAAATAAAAACAGAGTGCTGGAGAAGCTCAACAGACATGTATATGTGCAGAGAGAAACAGAGAAACATTGAGTCCAATTTGACTCTTCTTTAGAACTGCTGAGGGATTTCAGTTGTGTAGAGAGACTACAAGAGCCTGGAGAGTTAAAAGGAACTGATGAGATTATGGTAAAATAAATCAGACTGGTCCTAAATGGAAGAATTTTATCATAAGTAAGGAAAAACAGTTTCCACTGGCAGAAGATCAATAAACAGCACATTATGGTTAGAATACACTGCCTGAAAGAGAAAAGGGAACAGAGGCAACAGTAACTTTAATATCAAAATTGGATTTGCATTGAAGAGAAAGTTCTAAAGCCATGAGAAAATAGTAGTGGGTAGGATTAATTAGAAAGTTCTCTTCAGAGGCAGCACAGGCACAATGGCCTCCTGTTTGCTGTGATGGCCTATGAGCCGCTTCACATGACACTTGTAAGATAACAATGTGCTCAACATTTAACATCATTTGTCTGTTGAAATGTCAATAAGTTCTTTTTTAAGAAGCAATATTTGAACTTAATCAATTTAACACCTCCTCGTCCACGTGAAATCTGTAGCAAGAATCAAACTAACCCCTGGTGGTAACTGCACTGAACTCAAAGCTGTCTGTGTTCACTACAGTAAACATAAAGATAATTTCCTGATGCTTATTTTATTTTCAGCATTAGTTTTTCAAAATTGTGAACGTGAGCATGAAACAGATTCTGATAAATGCTAAACACACTGATACGTGTGGCGTTTTCACTGTTTCACAAGATGTCTCCAGCACTTCAACATTCATCCAAATAACATTAAATGGTTATTAAACTTCCATTTATTTAGTGAGAATAACTACAGAATTCATTCATGAAGCTTAGAAATGATGAGAACTCCAGAAATAAAAACAGCATTGCGGAAACTCAGTAGGTCTGGCAGCATTTGTGGAGAGACAGAGTTAATATTTCAAGTCCATTACGACTTTTTCTCCACAGATACCACCAGGCATTTTGAGTTTCTCCAACGAAAAGCAAAAGAACTATAGATGTTGTAACAAAAACAGAGGTTGCTGGAAAAGCTCAGCAGGTCTGGTAGCATCCGTGAAGAAAAATCAGAGTTAGCGTTTTGAATGGTCACCGGACCCAAAACATTAACTGATTTTTCTCCACAGATGCTGCCAAACCTCCTGAGCTTTTCCAGGAAATTCTGTTTGAGTTTCTCCAACACTTTGTTTTCATTTTCTCTAGCACCAGCAGTACCTTGCTTTCACTCCTGGAATAAGCCTAGCACGTGTGAGCTCAGAGCCTAACCACCACTTACCTTGGCCGTCCTCATCTTCTAGATGCAACTCATCTGCCTGCACTGCCTTGCGGATCTGCATACGGATCACCTCAATTTTGGTTTTACTGTCCTGCAGCATCTGTTGTGCAGTGGACAACATCTTCCGGTCCTTTGGGATTAAAGCAAAAGCAAAATTAAAATGAAAGCAATTTTCACTTGATAATGAACAAAATGCTTCAGCTCTGCTTTTCGTTGAAAGAGTTTTTGACAATAGAGCTCAGGGATCACTTAATATATCACAAGACGAAAATTTGGCACATGGGATCTCCAGGTCTTCCAAGTCTGAAAAGCTGAACCAAGATCAGCCAAGTTAACTGCAGAATTTTGTTCTGGTTCTGCATTCTCTATGTCTTATATTCCATCATTCAAATCAGCTTAGACTGCAGCAGTTTAAGAAGACAGTTCACCACCACGTTTTCAAGGACAGATTATAATTCATAGATCATAGAATCCCTACAGTGTGGAAACAGACCCTTCAGCCCAATAAAAGCACACCGACCCTCAGAGCATCCGACCCAGACCCTTCCCCTATGGCCCATCTAATCTAAACATCCCTGAACACTACGGGAAATTTAGCATGGCCAATCGACTTAGCCTCCACATCTTTGGACTGAGAGGGGATACCGGAGCACCCGGAGGAAACCCACACAGACACAGGGAGAATGTGCAAACTCCACACAGACAGTCGCCCAAGGGTGGAATCAAACCCGGGTCCCTGGCGCTGTGAGGCAGCAGTGCTAACCACTGAGCCACCATGCCGCCCCGACGAATAGTGGGAGCAAAAGCTATTGGCCTTACCAAAAATGCTCACACTGCATAAATGAATGAACCTAAAAAAAAAGGTCCAAGTCAGAAAGGCTTTGCACAAAGTGCCGCACACAGAGGCATTAAAAAAAAAGTAAGCCATTCAGCTCTTTGAGCCTGCCAAGCCATTCAATGTCATCATGGTTGACCATCCAATTCAGTATCCTGTTCCCACTTCTCCCCAAACCCTTTTATGTCTAAGAACAATACCAACTCCTTGTGGCAGAGAATTCCACAGTCTCACGACTCTTATGGTTGAAGAAATTTCTCCTCATCCTTCATCTAAATGACCTACCCAGTATCCTTACACAGACCACTGGTTCTGGACTCCACAATCATTGAGAACATTCTTTCTGCCTTCACCCTGTCTAGTTCTGTCAGAATTTTATAGGTTTCTATGGGATTCTTCTAAATTCTAAATTGAAAAACTGAGGAACAATCTCAGCAAATTGCAGGGTTGCTTGCAACCCCACTATTTAAAATAGGAGGGAAGGAGGAAACAGGGAATTACCAGACCAGTATAAGGATCTTGAGTAGATTTGTAGCTCGGGTTGTGGATGCTGTGGTTGGTTCGCTCGCCGAGCTGATTCGTTAGTTTGCAGACGTTTCATTGCCCTGCTGGATACCAAACTTCAGTGCAGCCTCTGATGAAGTGCTGGTGTGTTTTCCCGCCTGGTATTTAAACTCTGGGGTCCATTGGAATTGATTACCTCATTTCCGGTTTTCCTTCGCAGTGGTGTATATATAGGGTCTAAATCTACGTTGTTGATGGCCTTCTTGGTGGAGAACCAGGCCTCGAGGAATTCCCGTGTTTGTCTGTGTTTGGCCTGTCCTAGGATCCTGGTGTGGTCCCAATCGAACTGGTTGTTCTCCTTATCCTATAAATACACCACTGCGAAGGAAAACCGGAAATGAAGTAATCAAATCCAACGGACCCCACAGTTTAAATACCAGGTGGGAAAACACACCTGCGCTTCATCGGAGGCTGCACTGATGATGTTACCCATCAGGGTAATGAAACGTCTGCGGAACAACGAACCAGCTCGACGAGCGAACCAACCACAGCAATTACAGACCAGTTTGCCTATTATCAGTAGTAGGGCAAATGCTGGAGTCTGTTATAAAGTGACAAGAGGATACTTCAAAAACACAAACAATGTCAACACGGATTTATGAAAGGGAAGTCAAATATGGCAAACCTACTGCAGTTTTTTTGAGGACATAACTAGTGGAATAGATGAGAGAGAACCAATGCATGTGGTGTATTTGGAATTGCAAAATGTTTTTAACGAAGTCCCACATAAGTGGTTAGTGTGCAAAATTAATAGAATGGAATGGGTGGTAATACATAGGCCTGGACTGAGAACTGGTTTGCAGACAGAAAACAAGAGAATAAGAATAAATGTGGAGCTGGAGGGACACAGCAGGCCAGGCAGCATCAGAGGAGCAGGAAAGCTGACCTTTCGGGTCGAGACCCTTTCTCAGAAAATCTGAAATTCTGAAGAAGGGTCCTGATCCAAAACGTCAGCTTTCCTGCTCCTCTGATGCTGCCTTGTCTGCTGTGTTCCTCCAGCTCTACACGGTGTTATCTCAGACTCCAGCATCGGCAATTCTTACTATCTCTGATTAAGAATAAGTGGGTCTCTCTTGGAGTGAAGTGTAGTAACAAGTGAGGTTCCACAGGATCAGTACTTATACAATACAAGACAGCTTGTTAACAGGCCCTTTGGCCCACCAAGCCTGCACTGTTTCCTAATCTTTAATGCCTGCTTATTGACCATGTGCGGTGTCTATCACTCTGTTTGCTTCACGTTCATGTGTCTGCTTGTGCCCCAGCTAGTTACAATATAAACCAACAGGTTTGATAAGGGAATCAAGAGAATGATATTTCAAATTTACTGACAACGCAAAATTTAAAACTCCTCTATTCAAGATGGAAAGTAGGGATAATCCAAGAAATTATAGACCGGTGAGTCTCATATCGGTGGTTGGTAAGATATTAGCAAGGATTCTCAGGGATAGGATTTAAATACATTTAGAAAAGCATGGCCTAATTAGGGACAGTTTTTTTTGTGTGGGGTGTCTTACTAAATTGATTGACTTTTTTTTTGAGGTGGTGATGAGGGTGATCGATGAGGGTAGAGCAGTGGATGTTGTTACAGTTTTAGTAACACTATTGACAAGGTACCTCGCAGTAGACTCATCGAGATTAAGATGCATGGGATTGATGATGACTTGGTCATTTGGATTCAGAACTGGCATCTCATAGAAGACAGATGGTGGTGGTGGAAGGGTGTTCTTCTGCCTGGAGGTCCGTGACTAGTGATATTCTGCAGGGATCCGTACTGCGTCCTCTGCATTTTGTGATTTATAAATGACTTGGATGAAAACATAGATGGGCGGGTTAGTCTGCAGATGACAAAGATCGGGCTAATTGTGGACAGCGTAGAAGGTTGTCAAAGGATGTAGATCAACTGCAGATATGGCCAGAGAAATAGCAGATGGACCTTAATCTGGGCAAATGTGAAGTGTTGCACCTGGGGAGATCAAATGTTAAGGGAAAGTATACAATTAATGGCAGGAACTTTAACAGCATTGTTGTACAGAGGGGTCTTGGGGTTCAAGGGGCAGCACGGTGGTTCAGTTGTTAGCACTGCTGCCTCACAGCACCAGGGCTCCAGGTTAGATTCACCCTCGGACGACTGTGTGGAGTTTGCACATTCTCCCTGTGTCTGCGTGGGTTTCCTCCGGGTGCTCCAGTTTCCTCCCACAGTCCAAAGATGTGCAGATTAGGTGGACTGGCCATGCTAAATTGCTCATAATGTTCAGGGATGTGTAGATTAGGTGGATGGATTTGGGTGGGATGCTCCGAGGGTTGGTGTGGACTTGTTGGGACTAAGGGCCTGTTTGTCCATAGCTCCCTGAGAGTCGCCACACAGATAAATAAGTTGGTAAAGAAGGCATATGGCATGCTTGAATTTATTGTTTGGGGCACTGAGTACAAAAATTATGAAGCTTTGCAGCTTTAAAAGACTTTGGTTAGGCCACAATTAGAGTATTGCGTTCAATTATGGTTGCCACATTACAGGAAGGATGCTTCAGAGAAGGTGCAGAAGAAGGTTACAAGGATGCTGCCTGGATTAGAGGGTATGAGCTTTAAGGAGAGGCTGGACAAACCAGGGTTGTTTTCTCTGGAGCGGCACCACCTGATGGGAGACCTTGTGGAAGTTTATAAAATTATGAGTCGTATATATAGGGTTAACAGTCAGAATCCTTTTCTCAGAGTTGAAATGTCTAATACTAGAGGGAATGCATTTAAGGTGAGAAGGGGGGAAAATTCAAAGAAGATGAAGGGCAATTTTTTTAAGCACAGAGTGGTAGGTACCTGGCAGGGGTAGTGGAGGTGGCGTATACCATAGGGGCGTTTAACAGACTTTTAGATAATCACTTGAACAAGCAACAAATGGAGGGATATGAACCATGGGCTGGCAGAAAGGACTCATTTAATTTGGCATCTGGCATCATGTTCGCTACAACATTGTGGGCCGAAGGGCCAGTGTCTGTGCTGTACTGTTCTATGTTATAAACATATGAGTAGCGAGGAGGATGCAAGTAGGCTTTGGGGTGATTTAAATGAGTGAGGGAAGACAAATGTGTCAATGATGCCACATAACATGGATAATTGTGAACCGGTCCACTTCAGTAGGAAAGACAATGGCAGAGTATTATTTGAATAGTGATAGATTTAGAAAGATTGATGTACAAAGGAATCCAGGTGTTTTGTACATCACAAACTGAAAGTAAGTATGCAGGTGCACCAAGCAGTTATGAAGATAAATGGTATGTTGGCACCCATTGCAAGAGAGCTTGAGTACACAAACAAGTCTTAAAACACCTGGAAAGTTGGTGAGAACACACTTGGGAGTATTTTGTGCAGTCCTGGTCTCCTTACCAAAGGAAAAGTTATAAATGGTAGAGAGGGAGTGTGGTGAAGCTTCACCAGACTGATTCCTAGCATGGCAGGTTTTTTTATATATGAGACATTAGGTTGAATGGGTCTGTATTTACTGGAGCTCAGAAGAACGAAATGAGATCTCTTGAAGCATATAAAATTCTAACACAACTGGACAGATGAGTTGCAGAAATAATGATGCCCCTAGCAGGGGATCACGGTCTCAGGTTACACATAAGAATTTTGGATTGAGATGGGGTGTCATTTCTTCACCCCTCATAAAGGGTGGTGAACCTATGAAATTCTCTCCCTCTGGAGGCTTTGAAGGCCAGATTACTGAACATGTTTAAGAA